ATTATACACCATTCCATAGAGAATTTCACGAGCTACAAAATAGTATATAAAACATAAAGAAAGAAGAAAGCTAGCTCACCTATTGGAAAGATAAATAGACGGAAATCGGTTCTATTTTTGGTCTGCGCTCTAATCGATCCCCGATTCGAGCTCTATCTTCCGATCATCGAGATAATACTTCGAGGTTTTCTGGGATGGAGAAATCGAATCTGTAATTCACTTCACTCGGAGCCCCATTGGTTGAGCACTGACCAATAGAAATCAAGTTATAGGAAAAAATGCCTTTCTTAGGATAACTCAAGGCGAAGAGTCCAAATCTAAGCTGTATTCACGCCGAAATCCTATTGGTTGAGCAGTAGCAAATAGAATTCAAGTGTTTATAGAAAGGATTTGTCAGGCTAATTTTTATATCCGCACATTCTAGGATGACCGATTTGTCGCATTCACTTTTTGAAGTACACATAACTCTCGGATTTAAATCCGAGGTTTCCACATTTATTTATTATTTCATCAAAAATTTTCCAAGAAATCTCATTTGAGTCTATTCTATGCGATGTTTAATATGAACTGTGGAAATTTAGAGGAATCTTCGATGTGTAAGTAATACATTTGATTAAAAGAAAATGCATCTATATATATTGAGAATAGATTGCTATACTTGAACATAAATCAATTATATAACTAGGTTACAAAGCTACTCTTCAGATTTATACTTCTGTTACTGCTGAAGTTCAATTAAAAACGTTAGTTAATTCTAATTCTGATGTAACAAGTGTAGAAGATCCAAAATTTATAAAACAAGATCAAGTAGCCATAGCAAGATCTGGATTGATACAAACTGGTCGAGTTATTTGTATAGAACAATTGCAATATTTTCCTCAATTTGGTCGATTTACATTACACGATAGAGATCGTATAGTTGGTATTGAACAAGTACTTGAAGTAATTGCAAGTGGGAAAAAGCTGATTTAAATCACTCCAAAATCAAATTTAAATCAATTAAATCAAATAAATCACTTTTGAGTCAAATAAATCAAATAAATCACTTTTGAGTCAAATAAATCAAATAAATCACCTTTGAGTCAAATAAATCAAATAAATCATCTGAATCAGTTTTGAAAATATTTCAACCAATGACGAAAACTGTGTGAAATTAATTCGTTCTATATTGTATCGTAGAAACAATTTTTTCGTTTGGGTAAATCCATGGGAAACGTACCACTTTATACATGACTATCTCAGAATTGACTGAAATTTTCAGGATTTGTAGAGTTCAATGAGCTGATCATTTTGGTAATAAATTATTATTATGGGTTTGATTAGGGATTAGGGTCGAAATAAGCAAAATACAGTTTTCAGAATTTCCGAAAAATCATCACCAACGTGAAAAGTTCTCATTTTTGCGAGAGTATTTTCTCTTTTATTTCAAGACCAAAGTGGAACATTCTATATATATTCTGATAGCCCGTGCTTCGCTCTATCGAACCATATATGAATCAAAAATTTTTCATTTTTTAAAAAACGATTTTTAATTGAACCACAAAAAGCTCACTGCAGCACAAACTTCGTCTTCTAATAAAAAACCCCTTCCGAATTTAGGTGAATTATGGTCTAGTAGGTTTTGTAGAGCGTCGCTTGCTCTATCTTTTGGTATACAGCGCATTGCAGTCGGTTTTCGTTTTCGGGTGTTAGAGGACCAAAATGTTTATCTATTACTGTTTTCGGAAGGTTTCAGTTCGTATTACTGGACTTTTTCAAAAGAAAAACTCAATAAATTAATCTGAAACTTTAAACTCAGGGAAATCTCAATTATTAGAGTAGAAATCACAAAAAAAATTATTGACATTGTCTTCTCTTTCACATCATCCTATGATAGTAAAATATGACAAGTCATATTTGAACTTTTGATTATTCAAAGGAGAGAGTTCGTTAATCGATGAAATCAATCCCTTTCTGAAATCAAGTTTTATATTTTCCGAATAGTCGATTGAGATGTCAAAAGCCGATTAGGGTTTGAATTAGCCAGTTAGTCTTAGTTATAGATATGCACGAATGGCCTAAAATATTAACACTGTCTACCGCCTAAGCAGTTGCGGTATGCTGTGTTCCCATGAAGTATATTGACTCTGTCGTTAACATCTTTTAATTTGAGTTAAATACCAAATGAAAGCTTATTCTTTTCGCTATCGAATGATATAAAATAGTATGATAAAATACTGGTCTTTCATTGTTTTCTTGAGATGACCTTGTATACTACTATCTGACGTTGTGTGGGTATTGATGAGAAAGTCCTATTTTATGGTACGAAAGAAATACAGATCCAACGTGAATTATGTATTATTCGATAGCTCTTTTGAAACTCAACAAAACTATGCTGTTACATTGAGTTTAATTTGCGGGAAAGATAGTCAACCAGAAGGTACAGACTTGCAGGATGCCAAAAATTGAATTTTTTCGGTTATTTTTTATTCATTTTTGCTTGAAATATCCGGCTCTATGTTTAAAAAAATGACATACTTGAAATCAGCATGAAAAGTTGAGTTGGTCTATATGTACTTGAAACTACGCTATCGACTTTCATTTTTTTCTAAAAATTTAGCCCTGGTCCCCCTCAGGGATATGCCGAAAAATAAATTCAACAAAGCTCTCGTTTGTATTTCTTATCTAGCTACCGTTTTGATTTTTTCTAGCTTTTAAACAGTTAGCATCTTCGTTTTCATGTTAAAACTCATACTTTTCCGACATTTATTTTTTCGAATATCCTTAAGGAGGACTAGGGCCGAATTTTTGGAAAAAATGACAGTCGATAGCGCAGTTTCAAGTACATACAGACCAACTCAGCTTTTCATGCAGATTTTAAATATATGTTTTCTTCAAACACGAAGCGGAACAGTTTCAGTGAAAATGAATGAAAAATGAGAAAAAAATCCAATTTCTGGCGTCCCACAGGACTGCGCCTTTCAGTTGACTATTCCCCCCCACCCTTCCCACAAATTAAACTCAATGTAATAGTATAGTTTTGCAGAGTTTCAAAAGAACTATCGAATAGCACCTTCTTCACTTTGAATCTATGTTTCTTTAGTACCTGAATATGGGATTTTCTTATGCATACTGATAAAATGTTACATAGTAGTGTACAAGGCCATCTCAAGAAAACAATGAAAGAAGAATATTTTATCACACAATTTTATATTATTCGATAGTGAAAAGAATAAGCTTTTATTTAGTATTTAACTCAAATTAAAAGATGTTAACGACAGAGTCAATATGCTTCATAGGAACGCCGCATATTGCAACTGACCAGGTAATAGACAATATCAATATTTTGGCTCCTCCTGCATATCTATAATTAAGACCACCTCACTAATTTGAACATTAATCGACTCTTTGGAAAATATAAAATTCGATTTGAGAAGGGAGCAGACTTCATCGATTATCCATCCTCTCCTTTGAACAAACAAGAGTTCAAATGTGACTTGTCACATTTTACTATCATAGGATGACATGAAAGACAAGATAATGCCAATAAATTTTTTTATGACTCCTATTCTATTAATTGAGATTTCTCTGAGTTTAAGGTTTCAGATTAGTTTATCGAGTTTTTCTTTTGAAAAATTCAGAAATATGAACTAAAACCTTGAGAGAACAGTAGTAGATAAACATTTCGACCCTCTAACGCACGAAAACGGAAACCGGCTGCAATGCGCTATATACCAGAAGATAGAACAAGCGATGCTCTACAAAACCTACTAGACCATAATTCACCTAAATTCGGAAGGGGTTTTTTATTAGAAGACAAAGTTTGTGTTGCAGTGAACTTTCGGTGGTCCAATTAAAAATCTTTCTTAAAAAATGGAAAATTTTTGATTCATATATGGTTCGATAGAGCTGAGCGTGGGCTACCAGAATATGTATAGAATATTCCATTTTGGTCTTGAAATAAAAGAGAAAATACTCTCGCAAAAATGAGAACTTTTCACGTTGGTGATGATTTTTCGGAAATTCTGAAAACTGTATTTTGCTTATTTCGACCCTAATCCCTAATCAAACCCATAATAATAATTTATTACCAAAATGATCAGCTCATTGAACTCTACAAATCCTGAAAATTTCAGTCAATTCTGAGATAGTCATGTATAAAGTGGTACGTTTCCCATGGATTTTTACCCTATCAAAATAGCAAAAAGTACTTCGAGTTAAATGTTCTCTTTTTATGTGTATATTATACGTTACATCAGTCAAACTAGAACATGTAAATCCATGAAGTGTTACATTTTCTACGTGAGCTAATTGATTGATTATTGCACCAATGGTGTGGCAAACTAGTTGGATAACAAACTACTATCATCATTCAATATAACCTCTTTAGATCTGTACAGAAAATAGTAATCCTATATTCCTGTAAAATCGTTTCACGCCGTCTGATTTATGTGATTTTTAAATAACTTTAAGTTAGTTTCGAGTCAAAAAAATCAGCTAAACTCATTTTAAATCAAAAAAATCACTTAAACTCAATTAAATCAAAAAAATCAGCAAAACTCCTTTTAAATCAAAAAAATCAGCTAAACTCAATTAAATCAAAAAAATCACTTAAACTCATTTTAAATCAATAAATCATAAATCGCTTTTTCCCCCTTGAGTAATTGAATAAAAATTATCTTTATTTTATGCTAGTTTTATATAGTTATCAATAAAAAACAGAATCTTGGGTGTGAATTTGTAGGTGTGACTGTGGCTGTGGGTGTGGGTGTTTTTCTGTTCTTCAACAAAACGTCGATACCCACGTCCTCTTTTCTTGATCCTTGAAATTTTTAAAAAAATTTGAAAAGATATTTGTTTTATTGTGATTATTGTTAGCAAACTTTCAAGGAAAATTAGAATACTGAATGCATGATATAGATAAGGATATATATTTTGTAGGGAAATTTTTGAGAGAATACATTTAAAGATTGAAGTATATAACTGTTAGTTTCAAATTAGTAACATTTTTTTTTGTTTTTTCAAACATGACCTAAGATTTGAGCTTCGGCGTATTGAACAGAATTGCTAAGACCTTCTTGCGAAGTAACAAGTAGTCGATAACTTCTAAAAGCAATCGTATTCGAGAAATCTTGTTGTTGCATATATGTATTGCGAGCAGGATCAATACCTGTTGGACCACTGTATATCAATGTCCAACTTGAGCCGAGATGAAGTGCTTCGACATCTGTTGCATTTGTTCCTTCGAGAGTTACTGTAAGTGGATCACGATATGGAAACTCATCTGCAGTTGCAAAAAGAAGAGCAACAGCCACAGAAGCATTACTTATTGTCGGCGTTACAAAAAAAAAAAGTATTTACTCCAGGATTATATAACATGAAGCCATCGTTATCTTGAACTCCAAAATTAAGACATTTCGTGTTTAACAAACCATCAATAGCGTTTGGAGGATCTTCAGCAGAATTCGAATATCTGCCATTATAACCACCCGTAGATTGACCAGTTGAAGTATTATATAAGCCGACGATGGGATCATCTGAACTTGTTATTGAGACAATTATTTGTGAAGAGTTTGCTCTTGTGTATGTTTTTCTTGTCGTTGTTGAAATCTTCACTGTTATGAGAAGAAGACAAGATCAAATATTATCCGTCAATTCATTAGGTGAAAATTTGATGACAATGTAATCTATGTACATTCAAAATTTTTGTTGTTTCATTAATGATTGGGGTGTGGAGTGTGGGTGTGGGGTGTGGGTGTGGGGTGTGGGTGTGGGTATGGGAGTGGAAATAAAGAGAATACCCACACCCACACCCCCGCCTCTAAAGGATAGGCATTAGTATATAGTGCATACGATATTGTCAATATAGTACAGAAATAGCGTAAGTTATGTGTAATAATTGGGGTGAATTTTACTCTATTCCTAATTGATTCTCGATCAATTCTTAATCCATTAATATTCAATTAGAATCTGATTTTTTCTATTTTTTCTTCTTACATGGAGCCCATCCAATAAGAAATCTTTTCAGAAAACATTTCCTTATCTTTGATTTTCTTCAATTAGACATGAATAAATTTTCAAGCCTTCAAATAACTCATGTTCAGTAGTTTTCAAATGTGCGTCAAAACGAAAAGCACAAAAATAAAAGAGAGAATATTTCAAATTAAGCATTTTTCATCACTT